AAAAAAAAAAAAAAAAAAAAAGAAAAGAAAAGAAAAGAAAAATAGGGGAGTTCTGTATGAAAAAAAAACTTAGAAAATATTAACAACTCCAAAAAAGAAAAATGTATATGTATATATAATATGATCTTTTGTGCACAAAATTTCTTTCTTCTCTTTTGTCTTTCTTTCTTTTGAAACAAGGTAATACTGGTTGGCCTGGAACTCTCCTGTGTAGACAAGGATGGTTTCAAATTTATAGAGCTCTCTGTCTCTGCCTCCCAAGTGCTGGGAGTAAAGGTGTGTGTTGCTATGTTCTCATCATCATCACCATTCTCCTCCTCCTCTTTTTCTTTCTCCTCATCCTCTTCTTCCTCTTCTTCCTCTTCCTTCTTTCTTTCTTTTTCTCTTTCTCTCCTTTCTTTTTTTCTTTTAAAAGAAAAAATAGGGTCCTGCTATTGTAGCCCAGGCTGGCTTCCAACTCACAAACATCCTGCTTTGGCCTCTAATGAACTGGAATTACAGGTATATATGATAAAACATAACATGTATGCAGAAATGTACTATAGAAAATTCCACAGGAAAATCCTAACAATGGCTTTCTGGGAGGGAAGACTAATAACTAGGATAGGAAAAGAAGTACAATTCCCTCAGCTGAGCATGGTGGAGCATGTCTGTCATCTCAGTACTCTGGAGGCTGATGCAGGAGAATCACCGTGAGTGTGAGGCCAGCTGCAGCTAGTGAGACCCTATCTCAAGGAACAAAAAATAGCTGGGCATGTTGGTGCATGCCTATAATCCAAAAGAAAATAACAAATAAAATGTCTTCATTCCACTGTATTGCTTGTTGTACTGTTTGCAGTCTGTACCTTGCCTGTTACGTAATGTAGTTAGGGGCTATTGAAGAGATGACACAGCAGGTAAAGGTGCCACTAAGCCTGATGATCTGAGTTTGATCCCAAATGTTCATGGTAGAAGGAGAGAATGACTTCCAAAAGTTGTCCTTGTCCTCTGACTTCTGCACATGCAAACCTGCACACACACACACACACACACACACACACACGCGCACACAAACATTGTGTAACTGATTCTTTTAATTTTTTAAAATACTGATTTATTTGTTTAGTACCTATGAGCGTTCTCCTGGAGTGGATGTATGTGCACCATGTGCTGGCCTAGGGCTGGCAGAGATCAGAAGAGGGCATCAGATCCCCTAAACTGGAGTTATGGATGGTCGTCAGCCACCATGTGGATGCTGGGAACTGAACCTGGCCTTCTGCCAGAGCAGCAGTGCTCTACCCATGAGCCAACTCTTCCCTGTGTTTATTTGTGTTTGGGGACAGGGTTTCCCTATGTAACAGCTCTGATTGTCCTGGAACTTGTTTTGTAGACCAGGCTGGCCTCAAACTCACAGAGAGCCACCTGCTTCTGACTCCTGAGTGCTGGGATTAAAGGTGTGTGCCACCGTGCTCCGTTCTGAAAATATAGAAACAGGATTAGTTTGAAGGTCCAGTAATGCTTTCTCCTGTCATTCTTCTTTTCTCAAAGCTTTATCAGTTCTTAAAAGAAAAAAATTAAATTGCTCTAATTCTTTTAATTAATTAATTAATTAATTGTGTGTGTGTGTGTGTGTGTGTGTGTGTGTGTGTGTGTGTGATGAACACTCAAGGGTGAGCAGGTGCCAGTGGAGGGCAGAAGAGAAGACATCAGATTCTCTGCATCCAGAGGAACTATGGTTATTGGGAACCACACTTGGGTCCTCTGCAAAAGCAGCAGAGCACCTTTAACCACTGAGCCATCTCTCCAGCCCCTTTTCTTTTCTTTTCTTTTCTTTTCTTTTCTTTTCTTTTCTTTTCTTCTTTCTTTCTTTCTTTCTTTCTTTCTTTCTTTCTTTCTTTCTTTCTTTCAAAAAGTTGGTAACCCACCCATTGTAATGGCTATAAAATATGTAGCTTTTTGGTTGTTTGTTTTCCCATTTGTTTTGTTTTTGAGACAGGATTTCAGTGTGTAGCTCTGGCTGGCCTAGAACTAGCTATGTAGACTAAGATGGGCTTCGAACACAGACATCTGTCTATCCGCCTTCCAAGTGCTTTGATCAAAGGTGTGCTCCATCACTCCTGGTAAATATTCAATTGTATGCAGAGGTTCACTCTTCTTTTCTGTTTTGTTTTTCCAGACAGAGTTTCTCTTTGTAGCCCTGGCTGTCCTGGAAATCACTTTGTAGACCAGGCTGGCCTCGAATTCAGAGATCTGACTGCCTCTGCCTCCCAATTGTTGGGACTAAAGGCCGGTGTCACTACTCCTGCTTGAGGGTCTCTCTTCTTTAAACTTAAGTAAGAAAACCGATTGGAGTGTTAGGGTGGGGGGCAGGATTCCTGTTTTATTCAGTGGTCCCGAAAGTTCTATACCCTATATGGCAATGGTGAATTGATTGATTAGACTGACGACCCTGGAGTCTCCACAGAACAGCATTTAACTCTTCTTAATGCTGGTGGACACCAGACTGGAAACGACCTTTTGCCGAGAGCCCATCCAGTCGGGGAAACCCAAGCCTGGTTTCTTAAGCAGGGAAAAGGTTTTCAGTAATTCTGTGGGAAAGGGAACTGGGGCGGCTCCGGGGATTGCTGAGGGCCAGATGTGGGAGTGGGGCAGCCTGTGATTCTAGACCTCTGTGCTAAGGACTTTTCTGCGCCTGCTCAGAACTACCTGCTCCTTGGTGTCCATCATGAAGAAAACTGTTCGCTTTCCCGTTCGGTAGTATCGCTATAGTTGTCCCAATTCCTGCCCCAGGGAAAGGTTCTGAGTGTCGTTGGAGTTCAGAGACCTGGAGCTCAGAACAGATGGCGACAGTAACCTGGAGTGAACCCTGGCCAGCCACCTGGCTCCTCTTGGCCTTCTTTTCTCTGCTAGATAAGGAGATGCGGTTCCATGATCTCCCTGAATGCTCACCTAATATCCGGGAACCCGAGGGAAGAACAAGTCCGATGCCACATTCTCTGAGTCAGAGTGCTAGATATCTGCTGGAGAGGACACAGGGCGCTTTTTTTTTTTTTTTTTTTTTTTAATAATTCTCGCCTTAATCCTGCCCTGTCCTGACAGTTCTAAGAGAAACCTAGAGGCCCTTTGTAGACTGTCACCCTTTTTGTCATTTCATCTCTTCCCTCCCTCTCACTAACAGCCCCACAAGCTTTGGGGTCAGTATATAGATAGACAGATGCTGGGGTGGACCCCCAAATCTTTGAAAAAGATTGTATAGGGCAAGGATCCTACAAAAGACATGAGGCATAGACACAAAATACTCGTTTACACCCAATTCACACGCCATTTGGACCTCAGCTTGATCTTAAAAGGCTGGGGTGGGTTTGTGGGTGAGGAAAAAGAAAAAGGAAAGAGAAAAAGTAGAGCACACTCAGAGGACCTAATTCCTTTCCCCAGCTCACATTCCTCCGCCCCAGTCCCGCTGCTGCAGTCTCCACTGCCAAGAGGGGCCCTAGACTCCCGCTCAAACTATTCCAACCATCCTGAACAGGGTGGGGCGCCCGGCTCTTGGGTCTCTCTCCGCTGCCCCTCCGGGGTTGGTCTCCCCTCCTGCCCCGGTTCCTCCCTTTCTGGGGTGGGGCCAGCCAATGGCCGACGTGACTCCGGGTTTGGTCTGGGAGCCGGGCAACTCGCGGATTCCCCGCCCCACAGTTCTGGCTAGAGTCCCGGTGCGCACGGACGTGGCTCGAGTTTCCTCCGCTCTGGGCTCCTGCTAGCTTTCCCCTCTCTCGCTCCTCCTCCTCTCCGGGTCTCCCGCTCCAGTTCTACCGGGTCTGCCCCGCACGGCTCCGGGAAGCCATGGAGGATGTCACGCTCCATATCGTCGAGCGTCCATATTCCGGATTTCCCGATGCTTCCTCTGAGGGCCCAGAGCCCACCCAAGGGGAGGCACGGGCCACGGAGGAGCCGTCGGGGACCGGCTCCGACGAGCTGATCAAGTCGGACCAGGTAAACGGTGTGCTGGTGCTGAGCCTTCTGGATAAAATCATCGGCGCCGTTGACCAGATCCAGCTGACCCAAGCCCAGCTGGAGGAGCGACAGGCGGAGATGGAGGGCGCTGTGCAGAGTATCCAGGGAGAGCTGAGCAAGCTGGGCAAGGCGCACGCCACCACGAGCAACACCGTGAGCAAGTTGCTGGAGAAGGTGCGCAAGGTCAGCGTCAACGTGAAGACCGTGCGCGGCAGCCTGGAGCGCCAGGCCGGCCAGATAAAGAAACTGGAGGTCAACGAGGCGGAGCTGCTGAGGCGCCGTAACTTCAAAGTCATGATCTACCAGGTGAGCCCGCGGGGCAGACCGCGCCCCGAGCTGGAGGTACCCTCACGCCCCGCGGCCTCAACCTGGGATCCGTGTGGGACACCAGACTGAGGCTCGTCTCTCAGCCAGCCCGGCCTGGTGAGAGCGGTCTGGAGCTCCTCCCTCCTTCCTGCGCACTCAGCTAGAGTGGGGTTCAGGGAGTGGCAAACTCTTGGGGCTCACAGAGGGGTGCACACTGCGCCTTCCTCTCCAGGCTCCTCCCCTCGGTCTCTAACTCCTATCGGAAAAGTTAGCAGGCTAGACTTGGGAACGCTGAATACTCCCAGCTTGTCTCTGTCAAGCGCCTTTCCACTTGGAGGAAGTTTTTTGGGGGGAGGGAGGAGGGAATGCCGGAGGTCCCTAGTGGTCTTTGGATGCCCCTCTGTAAGCAGACACTAAAGGTGGGGCCCGGGGCCTGGGGCCTCCAGCGCTGCGGGCCCGATATAGCGGGTGATTCAGGGCTCAGGCACGCAGTGGCGGGGGCGCCATGCAAGAGGCACGACCGTCAGCCCCCCCTCACCCTATCCCCGCGCCCCCGCACCAACCTCTGCTACCCACGCACGTCCCCAGGCAGTGATCTGTCCCTGGCCTCCAGTTCCCTGGGGACACCCTGTCTTGTGGTGCGCGGGCGCCCTTGGCGTCTGCTGGGAGCGGGTGGGGCAGATAGGGTGGGCGTTAGAGGTGTAAGTGGGCCTGGTGGTGATGGCGGTCTGGGCACAGTGAATCACCCCCGCATGACTGCGGGGGCCGTGTCCTGAGCTCTGAAGGTGCTGGTGGGTGGAGGCTGCCGCACTGAGACTCCACCCTATACATTCTTTGCACCTTTCTGGGTTTCTCCTGCCTGGATACAACTGTAGTATCTTAACCCCTAAAGCATCTGAGAGTCTCAGTGCCGATTTGTCCCTGCGTTCACCATCCCTGACTCCCTTGAGAGTAAGGCTGGGCTGAGTGTGGAATTAGTGCTCTTTCCCAGGAAGGGAATGTGCTGGGCCCTGCGTCCTCCTGCTTGGGCCTGGTTGATGCTTCCACTCCTAAGAGGAGTGAAGGCTATAGGGTTAGTTTATGCTCCTGAGGAGAATGAGGGGTGTGAGGGGGAAGACTAGGTTTCCCACTTGCCCCACCTTCAAGGACCTGTGTAAAGGAGCTGTGATCACCAAGCTCTGAGACTTGCTTGATTAGGATGCCCCAGAGTAACCAGGTGATTGATGTGAGACGACGACCTTAGCTGGGTTTCCCTAAGAGTAACCATGAGCAATGGAGATGGGACAGTGTCTGGGGAAGAACTGAGCAGACTGTATGCTTGCAATCCTTGGTGGTAGGACAGGGGCAGAACAGGCCTGCTCCTAGCTCCTGCCTCTACATACTGCTGAGGTACTCTTTTAAGGGGCCTGCAAAAAGCTGTGCCCTGCTGGTGCATACCCGTGTGGCTCCATCGTTCCAGAGGCCAAGGCAGCCTGGGACATATAACACAACCCAGTCTAAAAACAAACAAGAAAAGCTTTCCTGCTCCCATTTATAGCACCCACTAGGTAGGAGAAAAGTGTTTACTTAGAAAGCTGTTTCCACTCCATCTAACTGCTTGGAGGCAGGAGGTTTGGGTCCTGTGGGTTGTTTTTGAGACCTGTGTGGCCTTCCCAAGTGATGTTTAGGGAAAGAGAAGTAAGCTAGCTCTCTTCTTCTGTGCTTGTCACAATGAACTTGGATAGATGACTTTCACATTTTAAATATCCCAGGTTGTGCAAAATGGGGACATTCTCAGCCTGGAGGTAAACCTCCCCGTGCTGAGGGTGATTCTGAGAGAAAGGACAAGTGTTGAGTGGGTGGGGGACTTCTCTGCTGAGGTCAGCGTCCTCTCAGCTCTGTTTCATCTCCAGCATTTGACAGTCATCACTATATGAAGAGTGGGGTGGGGTGGGGCACTCACTAGATGGCTTTGACTACATCTGAACCAAGCCAGTGGGTAAGGAGGGCAGAGAGTTAAGGGAGAGATGGCTCAGTCATAAACAGCACTGGGTGCCCTCTTAGAGATCCAGTCACCCCCATTCTGGCTAACAATATAATTCCAGTTCCAGGGGGTCTGACACCCTCTTCTGCCTCAGCAAGGGTGCTGCACACATCTGCACAGACATGAATATAGGCAAAACACTCATACACAAAATTTAAAAAATAAATAAATGTAAAAAGAAAGGAGTCACTGAAGTGACAGGGACAAGCTCAGAGGTAAGGACTAGCTTCCAGGACATGGGATGGGGCTCAGAGTTGCAGAACTTCCCTGAGCTGCCCCAAGGGTGTTCCAGGTGGGGTGAGGGGATGAAGTCTCCCATGTTAGGGGAAAGCAGCCTGTTCTCCTCCCGGGTCTGCAGAGGTCTACGATCTGAGAAAAGAATAGGGTAAAAATAGCCGTGTGTCTTGGCAGGCCTAATACGGAAGACTGGGAGCAGCAGAGTTTATGGGAAACTCAGGATAAGGAGATGGCCAGGCAGAGAGAATAAGGCAGGCAGGGTGGAGAGTGGAGGGGGGCAGGGATACTGACTGGAAAGGGGCTCCCAGATGATAGTTTTTAGAGGTGAAGCAGAAAGGAGGGTCTATGTTCCCCCTCTAGGTGTGGGAAGTCTTGATGTAGCAAAGGGGATACTGCAGAAGAAGGAACCCAAGTGTCTGGGAGTCTCAGTGCTGGGGTCAGGATGGCTGACCACCCATGCCCCATTCCTATGTGGAGATCCCGTGTGTGGCTATAAACAAACATTCTGTCCTATAGGGTAACAGTTATGGGCAGCAGCTAGTGAAGGCAAGAAGTGTATTCTATTATTATTATTATTTTGTTTTTGAGACAGAGAGGGTTGGGTTTTTTTTTTATTTTGCTTGTTGTTTGTTTATTTTTGTGCAGCTCTAGCTGTCCTGACACTCCTTCTGTAGACCAGGCTGGCCCTGAATTCAGAGATCCACCTGCCTCTGCCTCCCAAGTGCTGGGATCAAAGGTGTGTACCACCGCTACTGGGCAGGAAAGTGAAGTCTACAGGTTGTGGGCTGAGGGCCTCTAGGACGTGTGGGTAATTTGTGCAGATGGAGGCAGCTGAAACACCGGGTAACCCAGGAGAGCTGAAATCCACACAGCCTCTTGTACAGTGATGATTCTGACATCTTCAGTGCTAGATTAGAATCTAGAAGGTGAGACAGAATGGAAACAAAGACTCTCTGGAAGTTGTAATTTTTCCAAGCTCAATCACTCTAGGCAAATGATTTACCATTGCCCTAAATCCCCCAAAGGTGGGATAGTTTGGATGAGGCAAAGCTGATACCCTTTGTATCTGCTCCACAGGCTTGGGGAGAGGACCCAGAAGCCTTGAAGAGATCAGATTACTCACAGACACTAAAGGAAAGGACAGTATGGCTGGAATGAGGGCTTGCTGGCTTCTCCTCAAAACTTCACCAGCCTTTAATTCCTTCCTTCCTGTACTCCACGTGAATCACGGGTACCTTTCTCTAGAAGAACCCTAAACCTTTATCTAAAAATACTTGCAGCTTGTTCCTCTGCTCCCTTTTACCCCCTTAGCCTCATCCCTGTAGAGTGTGTCTACCAAGTGTAACTGATGGCTTTGGGCTATTTTTCTTGGTCATGCACTCCAAAAGCAGACAGGGTATTTTTAGGGGCATTCCCAGGACCGAAGGAAATCTTACTATCTGCCCACCTACCACCCCATTTTAAAAGTCAAATCTGACTATTTTAAAAGTCCAAGTTAAGAAGGTGAAACAAGGGTATAAAGCCGGCAGCTGGCAGCAAGAGGGGGCAGGGTAGCACGCTGCCAAGCGACAACCTCAGAGGTGAGGGTAGATCGGCACATTTCGGGAGCTTAGGCAGGGTAGCGAAGCTAAACACTACACTACCCGTGTAAATGTTTCATTTTTCTGTGGCTCTAGCCCTCTGAGCTGGAAGATAACCAGCCTCATCCTCTCCATTGTGTGTCTTAGGAAGCTGGGGCCCAGACCAGGGGAAGTCACTTGCCTATTGTCACTTAAGTGATGAGGTAACGGTTAAAACGGGGGCCAGCTGAGTGTGGCAGTGCACAGCTGGACTTCAAGCTCTCTGGAGCCTATGGAAGCAGGATTGTGAGTTTGAGATCAGCCTGGGCTACTTAGGGAGACCCTCTCAAAACAACAACCACCACCCCAAACAAGCAAACAGGGGATAGGAATCTCGCTTTGTTGGCCGGAGTAGCCAGCATGCTACTCTAGAGTAGCTTAGCATGCTACAGCCCTGGGCTCCGTCTCTAGCACCGCAGAAATTAGCTGTGTGCCATGTGCCTGTAATCTCAGTGCTCAGGCAGTGGAGGCAGGAGGATTAGAAGTTCAAGGTCCCTCTCAGCTACATAGCCAGTTTGAGGTCATCCTGATCTATAGGAGACAATGACTGGCCAAACTGGGCAAGAACCTGGGTATGTTGCTCCTTAGTGGAATGCTGTGTGTGTGTGTGTGTGTGTCTGTGTCTCTGTGTGTGTGTGTGTGTGTGTCTGTGTCTGTGTGTGTGTGTACACGTGTGCTACATTGGTTACAAGTGGCCAGCAGTGGAATATTGATGACCACTAGCGGCTGAAATAGAAGCAAAGACTAGTCACCCAGACACAGGAGAGCGGGAGATAGGGGAGGAAGGTGCCCAGGATAAGGTATAAGCTCCAGGCTAGCCATGGGGTGAACCTGATTTAGGCTTTCTTTCTAGGAGAGTCATTTCCCACCCCTGCCTCCCTAATGTTCCTGCCTCTTTCCCGGACTCTGCAGGCTGGGACCTGTTGCTGCTTTGGAGTTTTACGTGCCTTACTGAATATCACTATTGTCTGAGTCTGCTGTTCTCCCCACTGTCCCTCTCTAAGTTCTGACTGCCCAAAGCAAGAGTGTGAGCTCAGCTCTGGAGAGGTTCAGATGCTGCCGCTGGGAGCCCCAGAGCCCCACCTGTCGTAAGACAGCTTGATATCAGATTCTGATTTCTC